CAAACTTTCTTTACTGGTATATTGACTATTTTTGTATTTCTATACTATATGCAAATAAATCTATAAAATATTTATGAAAGGATTTAAAATTTCAAAATATTGAGGTATTTATATAGCAATATAACTAAGAATTATATATTGTTTAATAGATATCCATGCTTTTTTGTGTCATATCATTTTTAGAAATACAAACACTGCCCCTTATTCTCCATACTTGAGCTGTTATAAACCCTCACTCAGAGGAGATGGTAGCTGGAATGCTCTGGACCACATAGGACCCCATCAGTCTCCGGATTAGAGCAAATGAATTGCATCAAATCCTACTGCAAGGGTGAGGTAAGGCTTTGCTACCTGGGTGAAGTCTCAGTGCAGATACTAAATGGATGATCTAAAAAACATTTTCCTCTCAGAATCCCCAATTTAGCTACCAACATGTTTTCAATTATTTTCCAAAGAAACCAGAGTTAGACTTGAGGATATATTCAGTAAAATAATATAGAAAATCTAGGACAGTGATTGGCACTTAGGAAAAAGACATCTGCTCTGTAGTCTTGAAGTACCCAGTTACAATGAACACAAAACATTTCCCTTTACTCAAAGAATGCTACAGCCCTGAGATTGCACATCAACCCATTGTGAGAGAACTGGGGCAAGACTGGGGGACCTTCCCAGGGGAGTGATAGTCTTTCTGGGGAGAAATTCTCCAAAATCCAAGACCTTGCTTTGTTTCTGTTTTTTCTTGGCAATGGGAAAATTTTTGGTTTAAATTATGTAAATTTGTGTGATGCAGCAAAGGCAAACTATAAAGAGAAGTAGTGGATATAGGGATGGGAGAGGTGGGAGAATAAAAACAAATGCATGCTAAGAATTCTATATTAATCTTATAAGGGTAAATTACAAAATTTGGAAAGGAAACAGGCATCCTAGAAGTATTCCAATGGCCTCATTTTAAAGATGAAGAAATAGAGCTCTCCAAAGTTTAAGAAATTTTCTTTAATTCCAACAGGTAATTTCTAGAAGTCCTGAGCCACTATTCGAGGTTTCTGATGCTCAGGGCATTTCCCATGAAACCATATTGTGTCAATGCTCAAGCCCATCACAGCTTGTGAACATTTCTTGCTTCCGCCAAATGGCTGCTGGGACCTGGGGCTGCTGTCCAAGCTCTCTAAGAACTCTTGCGTTAACTCCTAGGGGTTCTAAGCTCAAATGATGAAGAAGAAGATGCCAGTGCACTGATTTAATTAGCCATCTCAGTCCTGTAAGTAGTTTAATTGACCTATGGGAAAACTTAGGCTGTCTTTAACATTATATTTTTTTAAGAACACCATTACAAATATATTATTTCAAAATAACTACAATATCTTCAACTGATCATCACCATCATCATAAATATCTATAAAGATATAAGATTAAGTTTTGTTCTTGAATTCTAAGGTTACATAAGGTCACCTCTTCTATGTAGTCTTCCTTCATCATCATCTCCCTTCCAAATTTCTCCTTCTTTTGTTCTTCCATTACTCTGCATAGACTACTCCTTTGTTCATATGTCTTTCTACCAGAATGTAAGCTGCTTGAAGGTGGGAATCATATCTTACCTATCTTTTTATTCATACCTCAACAGACACAACCTTTGACTGTAGAAAGCATGCAGTAATATTTTTATGAATAAAAATTTGACACTTTCATGTTTATATACAAATGGTGTTTTAAAAAAAAAAACCCTCAAATTGATAATCAGAATACTAGACAAAGTTGTATCTAAAAAGGATATTAGAAATAACCCAATAGAACCAATTCCTTTTACAGATGAAGAAACTGAGGTCAACAGTAAATGGGTGGCTCAAAGTCATCCAGCTAGTCAGCATCTGAATGATGCTGCTGACCCTGGTTCTCATCTCTGTCTGCTGCCTTTTTTAGTACACACAACACAATCAATCTCTAAATAGAAATTAGCTCACTTGGATACCTACATGATTCTTGGGAAAGTAGAAAAGTATAAACACCTTGATTATACACTAGAACTTTGACACATTTCGTGTTCTGCATTCAAATCACTAACAATGCCTGAAACATGGTAGGTATTGAATCAATTTTGGTTTGTACATGCCCTTTTCCCTTCTCCCATCCCCCCTAAAAGTATCCACATAAACTGCATTAAATACTGCCAATTTATCAAGTAAGCATCACCCTCTTTCCTCAGCCATGTGCCTCAGCTGTTTGGACTCCTCTTTGGATACATGAGCTGAATCCATACAAAGGTGAATTCTTTGGATAAGAATTTCTGTATATAGTTACCTGCCTCAGCGATGCGAGTTAAACTACTTAGAATACCTGTTAGCTTCTACGTTTAGATGTCTTAAATTCTGCTCTGATACTTAATTTGGACAGTTCTCTTTAATATAAGGAATCCCTTCTAGTCTTGCTTGGATTAGTTCACCACTTAATAAATTCCTTCCAACACTATGTTCTGTGAGTCAACAAGCAGCTTCCCCTGTGATTTGAGCCCGGCTAACAACAAATTAGACTTTGGAAGATTAATTACCAGGCAGAGGTATTTTCCAGGTGGCACATTCCCACTCTGAGGAAACTTGGTCATTTTACATTCGCATCTGTTTGCAGTAAGACGTTCTTTGGCTGAAATAACACGCGTTAAAGTTTGGAATGCCCTCCTCTGTACCACTCATGTGTTGATTTCTAGATTATATTTCAGACTGGACTAACCCCAAAAATATGTTTCGAAGACAGCTGAAAATGTTATGTTTGAAATTTATTTAACATCTACACTATATGAAGAGTAGTAAAATATCAAACATTTTAACTAAGTATTTATGGAGAACCGACAATGGGTAGCTTTATGCTGAATGTCATGGAGAGCATTAAAAGATGCAATGGGTGTAATTATTTTCCCTAAGTTTATGTCTGTCCCTGACACAACTTGGATTTTTCCATCCTTGCCCTAAGTAACTTGATTAAAAAAAAAAAGTTTCTCCCAGCTATTTTGCAGACATATAATCACTACTGGTTTTGTCTCCTGTTGTTCAATTAAGTGAGTATATTCTGAAATCAGAGAGCTTATAAGTATCATGTAAAAGCTGTTATAAAAAGGATACAGGTTTTAGAGTTGCAACTACAGTAGGTCCTCGGGTTATGAATCTGATTTACAGACAACTTGTACTTGCCCTTTAATGTCGTGTAAATTTGCCCTCACTTTGAAATGACTGAACCGACCCCTACTTGCAACAAATTCTTCATCACAATCACCTTCACTTGCTGCACATGCAGCTTTCAAATAACTGAAATGGCTGGGAGACTCTTCTTGCGATGAAGTAAGGCTAGATCAGAACTGTATGCACCTGTTCCAACTTACCTACAAATTCGACTTAAAGACAGAAATGGATCTTGTTGGTAACCCAGGGACTGCCTGTAGTTAATTTTGGGCTTCTCCTTGAGAGAAAAAGCAACTTCATTTTACTAGAGAAGATGTCAGTCAACATGCAACTACTGACACCCGTCTTTGTCTCACCAGCCAGTAATAAAAGATAAAGCAGAGGAAATGGAGGAGCTGTGGTTATGCATTTACAACACACAAAGTCCTTGTTTTCCCACTAGGCGCTGCAGAAAAGCAATTGTCCATTCACAGCACAGCCTCTGCATTTTAGAGCTAATATTTTTGCAGTTCCTAACTTGGTACGTTACAGTCTTACACAGTTAATTTTATTAACCCTTTGAAATGTACTATATGTTTGATACCTTGCTTAATATCCCTGCTAACCTGATTCGGTTTTAAAAGATTTCTGATTATCGATCTTGAGAAGTGAAACTGTAAAAAAACATCAAGTAAGAAATTTTGGAAACAGAATAATGGTTTCAAATAATCCTTATTTGCGATTGTATAACTTTGAGAAGGGGAAATTCATGTTAACCATGTATCACTTGAATTGCTTTTACAAAAATTGGTTCTTTGGATAAGAAAGATTTTTAGCAAGAATCCCCCTCAATACACAATAATAAGTTGCCAACGTTAGCCCTGGCTCAACTGCCCTGCTTCCTTCAGCACTTAGTGTGTTACTGTAAATGAATGCATATGCTTCCTTTCCTGTGCAATGAGGTTTACTCTGACACTCCATAGTCACGCAGGCTAGAGCACAGGAAGAACAGAATCTATAGATCATTAATTAGCCCTCAGGCCCCATCACTTAAACCCCTAACTAAATATCTTACTCTGCATTCAAGTGTTATAGAAAAGATAATTAGAAAATTTACAGTGGTAAGAAAGAGGCTTTTATTTTCCTTCAAAAAAAAAAAAAGATATAAATTACTGGTCATATAACTCAGTACCTGCATCTCCTGTTGACTTCTAAATTCTAAATTTTTTTTTTTAATGAAATAAGATGATAAAAAGATGATAAACTGAATATATTTTTTCTGACACACTTTCTAGAGATTGGTCCATCTTCAATCTCATTACCAGCTTCTCCCCCTCTTTCTACTAATTTTTTTTCCTTTTGAAGTTTGATATCAACCAACATGACAAGCTCAAAAAAAAAAAAAAGGGGTATTTTTCATCTCTTTTCCATAACCTTCCTCAATCCCTTTACCAACATATTTTCTATCCTCTACCACCAAAAATAAAAAATGACTCAACTCTAAGATTTACATTAGAGAAGAAATATTGCATTCAAAATAAAATAAATAAATTTAAAAAGGCTTGCTTAGTCGGGGCTCAAAGTACATTGAGAATCCCGGAGTCTCTCATTACACCCGCTGGAATGAAACCCTGTTGCCTTCAAACAGTTAATTCAGGGTAAGTGATAATGTTTAGTCAGGTCGCGTAGAAAAAGGAAGGAAATTCAAAAGCTAGTTGCTATAGTAACAATCACAGGCAAAAAAAAAAATATATATATATGTACAGGTTCATTTTAAATAAAAATCCTGCCATCTCTCCGTGATTCCACTCTCTCAAGAAAAATTAGCTTGCCGCTTAAATTTGTTGTACATACCTCAACCATTAAACAAGACATTTAACCATAGTGGCAGTTCTGTGACCTTTGAATGCCGTGAAATCTCTGAACGGGGCCGCTTGTTCATGAAGACTTGTGCTGCAGAATCCAGCAACTTCATCCAGGATTAGGAATATAATTAAGTCCAAAAAAAAAGAATAAAAAGAAAGAAACACAAGAGCCCACAGAGAGATCGAGAAAGAAGGAAAGGTAGAAAGATTCTCTCTGGGTGAGTACACCACTTTTTTCCCAGGCAAGGGCTGGGACCAAGCCGAGCCTACTGCAGTGCCCAGACCTTCTGAGTGGCTCCGGGAGCAGGCAGCCGGCCTGCGAGGCTGGGGCGCGCTGTCAGTTGCCAGAGGCAAGGAAAAGCAGAGACCAATCGGCTTCAACTTTGGCAGCTTACTGTAGTGGAGCCTTTTCTGTTTATGCTTCCTCATTTCAGGAGTGACGTCAAAGGATTTAGTTTTTCCTCTGCATGTGCTATTAATTTTAAAGTACTGTACTATGGGAAGAATGTGTGCCTGTGGTTAGCCTGGGCACCCCACTCTCTGGAGAACCCAAGAAACATTTTCTATATTCAGGAATACACTAAAAAAATTTAAAATACCTTGCAGTTGGGTGTATTAAAAAAAAAAGAAGTCATAAAACAAACAGAAAACTGTGAACTAAATAATACCAGCAAGATTTATATTCTTTGCATATGTGAGTGTATACGTACATGTGCCCACTTCACAGCTGTTGCTTATTTTTGAGCTAAATTAATTTCCCTGACCTAACACTGAGTTGTTAGTTAATCTTTATGGCCATGGTTGCAGACTTGTGCAAATGAGCTGGTGAACAATATTATGTGTGGTGGAAAATAGAAATCACATATCAGTTTATGCAGCTGGTCCCTGCTTCCCTGACTTTCCTCCAGTTTATGTAGTGAAGTCCAGGATTTTCCATGCTAGGGAGATCCCTCCTGCAACTTCCCACAGGGAGTCATTCAAGAAGCAGGGGCACAGCAATGCCTTGCAGGCATGCCTGTGGTATCAGCGTATCCTCTCTCCCAAAGTACATGAAGGTACACTTATTTAGAGATACTTCCTCATCCAGGGCCCCCAAATTATCCCTGTTTCTCTTCGCACTCTGGAAAATCTCCGTGGTGGCCATCTGTTGTTTCTGTCTCCCCCATACTATCCCCACCTCCTGGATTCTGCTAACAACATCTTATTTTCTTTTGGGAAATTTCCTTCCTTTACCTATGGATCACATAGTCTCCTCCCCCAACCCCCCAACTATAGAGGAGCATGTGACCCAGGATGACCAATTGGATTTCTCCATTGCTCTGGACACAGAAAATGTTTTAGAGGTAGGAACAACACTCAAGAAAGGCCAGAGTTCTTTTTCAAGGATTAATATTGACTCTTTGAGAAAGAAGGCATTTATATCTCTAATCTAGAGATTAAGAAAGACTGTAGTTGTTGTGGATCATCTTTGGTGTTGAAGACAGAGTGGTGAATAAAACAGCATCTGCTCTCATGGAGTTTACATGCTGGAGACAGGGAAAGACAAGCAGCAAAAAGAAGTAAATATATAATCTCAGATGATAATAAAGGCTTTGAAATAAAGAAGGGTAAGTGAACAGAGTAATGTTTGTGTGCCTGCTATTTTAGGTAGGATAGTTAAGGAAGCACTCTGATAAAGTAACTTTGAGCAGAGGCTTGAATGAAGTGAAGAAGCAGGTCATAGGTTTCTTTGAGTTCTAAGCAGAGGAAACAGTAAAAAGGTATGTTCATACTTGGTATGTTCAAGGAGTAAAAAGAGAAATAGGGTGACTGGAAGATAATGACCCTAGAGAAAAAATGAGTTCAGAGGTATGTCTGGGACAAGATGAGGAAGTATCCTGTAGGCCATGTAAAATATTTGGACTCTATTCTAGGTTGACTCATATTCTAAGTTGGGAAACCTATCAGAGGGTTTTGAGTTGAGGAATGCCTGTGATCTGACTTAAATTGTAAAATAATTTCTCTGACTGTTGTGTGGAAAATAGACTCTAGGGAGCAAGGGTAGAAGCAAGGACAGCAATAATGAAGGCACTGTGATAATGGCTTGAATTTGGGTGCAATCAGTGGAGGAAGTGAAAGGCCCAGGTTTTGGATATGTGTGTATTTGTAGATATAGTTGTCAGGATTTGAAGTTGTGAGATGTGAGAGAAAGAGGAATGAAGAATAATTTCAAGGTTCCCGGCTTGAGGAAACTAGAACAGACTTAATCATTTACTGAGATGGTAAAGACTTGGAGAAGAACCTGGTATTGGGTATTATAAAGAGTGGTCTGGACCGTCATTCAACAACGACGAAGACTTATTCATTGCTCACTCTGCACCAGACACTGTTCTGTATGTTGGAGACAAAGCAATGGGTGGGGGGAAAAAAAACACAACAGAAATCCTTGCCCTCATGAACTTACGTTCTTAAGAGCAGAGACAGACCATAAAAGTAAATTAAAAAAATATTAGGATATTCAATGGTGATAATATTTTGGAGGAAAAAAGGATTACTGGTCATAGAGGGCTTGCAAATTTAAGTAAAGTATCCAGGGGAGGTATCACTGGAAAGATGACATTTGAGCACAAACTTGAAGAAGGGGAAGAGCATTACAGGTAGAGCGAATACTGAATATCCAGCACAAAAGCTATGAGGTAGGAGCATGGCTGGTAGGTAGTAGGAGATGACAAAGGATCTAGAGAAGCAGATCTTGTAGGGCTTTCTAGATCATTATAAGGACTGTGATTTTTAATCAGCGAAAAGGAGTTTTAAGCAGAGGAATGAAGTGATCTGATTTCCACTTTAATTAGATCAATCTGGTCTCTGTGTGGAGGTCTGGGTGGAACCAAGGACACTAATAAAAGAATGCTTGAAGATAGATATCTTAGGCATTAGTGAGCTGAAATGGACTGCGATTGGCCATTTTGAATTGGACCATCATATGGTTTACTATCACAGGGATGAAAAATTGAAGAGGAATAGTGTCACATGCATTATCAAAAAGAACATTTCAAGATCTATTCTGAAGTACAACACTGTCAGTGATAGGATAATATGCATATGCCTACAAGGAATACCAGTTAATATGACCATTTATTCAAATGTATGCACCAACCAACAGTGTCAAAGATGAAGAAATTGAAGATTTTTACCAACTTCTGCAGTCTGAAATTGATCACACATGCAATTAAGATACATTGACAATTACTGGAGATTGGAATGTGAAAGTTGTAAACAAAAAAGAAGGATCAGTATTTAGAAAATATGGCCTTGGTGATAGAAACCATGCCAGAGACCTCATGACAGAATTTTGCAAGACCAATGAACTATTCATTGGAAATAACCTTTTTTTCGACAACATAAATGGCAACTATACACGTGGACGTCGCCAGATGCAATACACAGGAATCAAATCAACTACATCTGTGGAAACAGACCATGGAGAAGCTCAATATCATCAGTCAGAACAAGGCCAGGGGCTGACTGTGGAACAGACCATTAATTGCTCATATGCAAGTTCAAGCTGTAGCTGAAGAAAATTAAAACAAGTCCACGAAAGCCAAAGTATGACCTTGAGTATATCCCACCTGAATTTAGAGACCATCTTAGGATATATTCGATGCATTGAACACTAATGACAGAAGTCCAGACTATTTGTGGGATGACATCAAGGACATAATACCTAAAGAAAACAATAGGTCGTTAGAAAGAAAGAAAAGACCAAAATGGATGTCAGAAGAGACTCTGAAACTCATTCTTGAAAGTAGAGGAGCTAAAGCAAATGGAAGAGATGATGAAGTAAAACAGCTGAACAGAAGATTTCAAAGCATGGCTCAAGAAGACAAAGTGAAGTATTATAATGACGTGCAAAGATCTAGAGTTAGAAAAACAAAAGGGAAGAACATGCTCAGCATTTCTCAAGTTAAAAGAATTGAAGAAAAAATTCAAGCCTTGAGTTGCAATACTGAAGGATTCTATGGGCAAAATACTGAACAACAAAGGAAACATCAAAAGAAGATGGAAGGAATACAGAGTCACTGCACCAAAAAGAACTGGTTGACATTCAACCATTTCAGGAGGTAGCATATGATCAAGAACTGATAATATTGAAGGAAGAAGTCCAAGCCGTACTGAAGGCATTGGTGAAAAAAACAAGCCTCCAGGAATTGACAGAATACCATTTGAGATGTTTCAACAAATGGGTGCAATGCTGGAAGCACTCACTTGTTT